GAAAAATTATTGGATTATTGCAGAAATCTTTATTTTTCTCATTCTATCATGCTTATTTTATGAATTGCCTCCCTTTAAAGTGTTTTAAACTGTTCTTTTAATGACAAATTTTATACAGTTTTAAAAAATTATTTTTATATGACTGAATAAAAGTCATTATTTAATATTGTAATCTTATGCTGTTTTAACTGGTAACTGAAGAGCAGAACATATGATATTATAGATTCTTATTTAGATCTATTGTTAACATACATGAATTCAACCAAGTGACAGAAAAAATATTAAGAAAAACACTAGAGATATATTTTTATGATCTAAATTTCTTTTTCGGTCGTAGATTCAAGAAGGTTAATATACCAACTACTATAAGACTTAAGTGAGAGGGCTCTGTACTCAGCATGCCATTAATTGTATCACTCCATCCAGACCCTTCTTTGCCAAACACGGATGAGATCCAAAATTTCTACTACCTTTTTTTTATTTTGCTGAATCAGTGATTATTGAAACGGATATATTGGAGAACTGGGGAAAAGAAGGCTCTTTTTGAAACCTTCAATTCATTCCTTACTATTGCACCAAAAACAATGTTTTCTACTGGACTAGTCATGTTGGGAACCATTATTAAAAGTGTCATATGACACCTTAGAATAACAAGTTTATTGCGGCTTATGGTTTTGTAGAACGTACCATCACCATCATTAAATGGTATATCATCCACAAAGGCCAATGCTGTAATAAAATAATGATTGAAATCCTCTTGTGCAACTTAGGTCCTGCAGAAGGATTATGATGTTACACACAGGGGGTGATTTTTCAAAATTTAAAATGTCCTACAGTACTTCTGTCTCATTGCTTTTCTGACTTCCTGTTGTGAGGGTCACACCAGCTTCTGCCATCTTTTTTAATAGATTGTTCTTATTTCGTCAACAGTCAAGGAGTCCATTTTTTGTTCAAAAGCTTTATTTGAAATAAACAGGAACAATTCTTTTTCTCCTTTACTCAACTCCAGCATGTCATTTTTAGGATTACATAGGTCTCTTTCCACATTCTTTTTCTCTTTAAATATAGGTTCAACCAAACAACTAACTGGTAATAGCATGTCACTAACTAGAGGGGTAGAGAGGTTTTCCACAAGCTCTTGTAAGCTTAAGGGTGAAACCTCAGTCCACATTGGGTTCCCATACCTTTTGCCTGGTGTCTCTCTGGGCTTTGGGTGGGGACTGGGTTCTTCCACAACTGCTCCCAGGGGAGTTGAGACATCTTCTAGCCTCCCTGTTGTTTGCTTCTCTTTGAAATCTTTCTCTCTTTCAGTAGACACGTTCTAGATGGGCGGTATATAAATCTAATAAATAAATAAATTTTATGCCTCCCTTTCAGTCATCTCTTCCCAGTACGGAGGTTTATGAACTTCTCTTTCCCTCAACTCTCTTTCAGCCATTTCACTTATCTTTTCCTCTCTCTTCCACCTCCTCAGCTAAGCACATATCTACCTCCCACCTCAATTCTTCCTCTCCCTCTATATCTCTATAATTTCCTGCCAAAACAATGCCTGCTACTGGCCATTCCTTTCCCAGGTTTTCCGCTTGCATTCTGTTTGAAAAGACACTTCCCAGTTTTTTGTCCATCTCATCTGCTAACAGTTTCTTTTCCTTTTGTGAAGTGGATGGCTCACCCTCAGTCTCTACTTCTTTCTTACACCCTTGTAATTCTTTTCATTGCATGGGAACTATGGGAGCCACAAGATAGAAGGAGGAAGTCTTTAATCATGAAAAATCTCCCTCTGGTGATGCTATCTAGCAGCAGCCATTTTAGGCAATTAAGGACCTTTTCCTTCCATCCTATGCCTTCCATGTGATTATGGGGATTACATGGGAATCAGAAAAACCTTTAGAAAGAAGTAAGAAGTTTTTAATTATAAAAATTGCCTCTGCTGTTGATATTATCACTGTTCTGCAGCAAATTTATGGCAACAGAATTTTAGTCAATAATTGTGTTCTGTCAAGTTGATTCTGGTTTTCCAGCTCTTTCTAGGTATGACATACACAGTAGTGGTTTACCATTCCTTTCTTCTAGGACTTTGTAGCATGCCCAGTACCACACAGGCTAGCTCTTCTCCTTCATGGAACAATAGAGGATTGAACATCCAGCCCCTGACTCTGCAGCTCGGTGCTGCAACTTACTAAACTATCCAGACTACTAAACCTAGCTCTAAATAAGTGTTGACTACCAAATTGATTCAACAGATTTGCTGTAGCTGGGCCTGGCAATTGAATTTGGAAGGACAGTCTTGAAGAGCCACAATGCAAATATAATGACGTGTATCGTGTATCATACCTTGAGATTAGTTTTCAGTGGTGTGGAATGTTTGGCCTTCCAAACGTTTTTACTAGGAAATAGCACGGGATTGTTATAACCTAATGCATCAGGAAGACAAAGGATTTTCCATCCCAGATACCAGCAGTCTTGCTGGAACTGGCAATTAAATGTTGTGGATGTTGTTGTTTGGTACAGTGGCTGTAAGCATGCAGCCATTATACCAAACTGTAGTTACAGAAATCCTGAAATCCTGTTTCAAACCACAATTTCATCGTTTCCTGAGTGACTACAAATAGCAGCACAAAACTTAATTATTGGAATTATTGTATGTGAGAGAGTGTAGGTATGCCAAGATAAAAATTAAATTGTAGTAATGCTCTGCCCAATACTCTATCAATACCCATTGTGGGTGTCACAGGAGAAGAAGGTGTCTAGGTGTTATCTCTGTCAGTAATTTTAGTCAGTAGTCAGTTCTGGTCATCGCACCTCAAAAAGACTCTGTGGAACTGAAAAAGATTCGGAGGAGAGCGACTAAAATGAAGACTGGGCTGGGGCACCTCCCCTATGAGGAAAGGCTACAGCATGTAGGGCTCTTTAGTCTAGAGCAGTGGTTCTTAACCTTGGGTTACTCAGGTGTTTTTGAACTGCAACTCCCAGAAACCCCAGCCAGCACAGCTGGTGGTGAAGGCTTCTGGGAGTTGCAGTCCAAAAGCACCTGAGTTCGTTCGTTCATTTAGTCGTTTAGTCGTGCCCGACTCTTCGTGACCCCATGGACCAGAGCATGCCAGGCCCTTCTATCTTCCACTGCCTCCCGGAGTTGTGTCAGATTCATGTTGGTTGCCTCGATGACACTGTCCAACCATCTCGTCCTCGGTCGTCCCCTTCTCCTTTTGCACCTGAGTAACCCAAGGTTAAGAACCACTGGTCTAGAGAAAAGGCGGCTGAGGGTGGACATAATTGAGACGTATAAAATTATGCGGGGGGTGGATAAAGTGGATACAGGGAAGCTCTTTTCCCTCTCATGCAATACCAGAACCAGGGGACATCCACTCTAGTTGAGTGTTGGGAGAGTCAGAATGGACAAAAGAAAAGATTTCTTGACCCATTGTGTTGTTAGTCTCTGGAACTCCTTGCCACAGGATGTGGTGATTGCATCTGGCCTAGATGCCTTTAAAAGGAGATTGGACAGATTTCTGGAGGAAAAGTCCATCACCGGTTACAAGCCATAATGGGGTTGTATAATCTCCAGGCTTAAAAGGAAGGTACCGCCAAATGCCAGATGCAGGGGAGTGGTATCAGGAGACAGGTATCTAGTCATGTGCTCCCAGAGGCATCTGGTGGGTCTACTGTGAGATACAGGAAGCTAGACTAGATGGGCCCTTGGCCTGATCCAGCAAGGCTCTTCTTACAGTATGTCCTGACACCGCAGAGAAGTTATGTGAAACCTATTGTTTGTGTTTTCCTTAATATTTACACATAGTGTAATTTTAGGTTATTTTGTGCATGCTTGCTAAACCCAGGTCGATTGGGGTCTGGCAGCATGTTTAAGCATATATGAGCTGGTATATAATTCCTTCAAAGACTCAAAGCTGATAATTTTCCTTTTAAAGAGAATTTTATGTTGTTTTTTCTGTAATACTGTTTTTCATATTGTTAACAAAAAGATTAATATGCATTATTTGTAAGGGTTAAAGTACTTTGAGATGCACCGTCTGAAATATAGTCACATTAAGATGAAAAAATTGTAGTTTTTTCTTTTATAAGGATGCATAGAGCATCCCATATAAAGAAGCCTTCTTCTGCTCTCAACTGCATGTTTTTAGAAAGGATTTTTATGCACTGAATAATCCGTTTTGTGATCTTTAGAAGGAATGGTTCTTTTGAAATGTACATATTGTTTTACTGAGCTTCATTTATTTCTTACCCATGTACAGTATGTATATATGTACGTGTGTATGTATCTATGTATGCCTGCCCTGTATAGTACTTGCTGGGGGATTCTCTATTTATCTTATATAAAGTGTATTGATAGATGGTTTAGGCTGCAGTCCTGTGCATAGTTACCAGGAACTATGGTGAGAGGCTTCCTTTAGAGTAAGCATGCATAGAAGTACTTTGGATATATTCTATAATGTTGATCTAAACTGTAATTTTTTGTTTTTTTTAAATAATTAACTCTAGTAAACAAAATTCTTACGGGACATAGTGGCACTGCGGGTTAAACCGCAGAAGCCTCTGTGCTGCAAGGTCGGAAGACCAGCAGTCATAAGATCGAATCCACACAACAGAGTGAGCTCCCATCGCTTGTCCCAGCTCCTGCCAGCCTAGGAGTTCGAAAGCATGTAAAAATGCAGGTAGATAAATAGGTACCACCTATTGGTGGGAAGGTAACGACGTTCCGTATCTAGTCGCGCTGGCCATGTGACCATGGGAAATTGTCTATGGACAAAACGCTGGCTCCATGGCTTGGAAACGGGATAAGCACCGCGCCCTAGAGTCAAACATGAATGAACTAAATGTCAAGGGGAACCTTTACCTTTATCTAAACAAAATTCTGCCAGATGAAATTCAGCATTGGAGCTTGTACTTTTAAGTGGGGATGGATGGATGGATGGATGGATGGATATAGAATTTACAGAAGTATGTGGTATCTGAAATATTTTTTCTTTCTTTCCCCCTACTAGTCATTGTGTGCTCAGTATTCTGCAGACAAACGAGAAGATGAGAAAATGTGTGATCATTTGATAAGGGCAGCTAAGTATCGCGATCATGTGACAGCAACTCAACTGATACAGAAAATTATCAATATTCTGATGGACAAGCATGGAGCGTGGGGCAATTCAGCAACAAG